AAAAGCTACTTCCTTCTCTTTGTTATTTGTTACAACATTCATTTGCTTTGGGATTGAGAAACATTTTTAACAATTTTGCATTGGTTTTCTACTGTGTATTTTCTGGTAAGATTTAAATGATTATGAAACTTTTTGTAAATATCCTGGTACTGGGGACATGCATGAAATACTTGGGAGTGCTGAAACACAGTTGGATTTGTTTTCATTGTGAGCTGTTATTTTGTTAGGACACAGGGTGGCAATGGCATGGAAACACTCATTAGGTGAAATAGTCTAGAATGGCTTTTGATCAGTTTTCTGCTTCGGATCTGTGCTTGATATATTCAGCTTGGCACTTGGGCATACATATAGCTATACCTATGACAGCATTTGGCATGTCCTGTGGATTGTGCTTGGCAATAACTCTTTGAAGCAGTGCATAAGTACACAACAAGGTATTCCTGTCCCCTAGACATATAGAGAAATTAAATCAGAGAAATCAGGCAGCTTGCCTGAGACCACAGCAAAAGAGCTGAGATAAAAATGTAGACATTTTCGATGCTAAAATATATAGAGAGGCATAGAAAGGTTTGAGTTGGAAAAGATCACCTAGTTCCAACCCCCCTGCCACGGATAGGGACATCTTCCACTAGACAAGGTTACTTAAAGCCACATCCAACCTGGCCTTGAACATTTCCAGGAATGGGGCATCCACAGCTTCTCTGGGCAACCTGTGCCAGTGTCTCACCACCCTCACAGTAAAGAATTTCTTCCTAACATCTAATCTAAACCACTCCTCTTCTAGCTTAAAACCATTCCCCCTTGCCCTATCACTATATGCCCATGTAAAAACTTGCTCTCTGTCTTTTTTATATAGATACAGCTGTAGAGTATAAATTCCTCCTATAGCAGCAGCTGCACGCAGAGATGTGCATGTACACATGCAGCGTCCTCCCACACATTGCAATAGAGGGAAGGGTCCTTTAGGAAGGGTTTGTGGGACCCTCAGCAGCTTTTCATCGTTCCTGTGCTGCGGTGACCATTTAGTCCCAGAGCACCTGCCCAGCCTCCCATGGAGCTCTTGTAGACCCTTAGTGGTCTATGAATGAACATACCCAAGGTGCAGAGACTTGCCAGTAAACTGAAAACTCATAAGATGCAAAGTGCTCTCCAAGTCACCAGGGAAAATACAAACAAACAAAACCCCAATGAGCAGAAACCAGGAGGAAATGTTTTTGCTGCTTTCTTTGTACCTAGGTCAATGCTGCTGCTATTAGGTCAACAGTGCTTTTATACCCACTGAAGCAGTTTTCAGTTCATGAGAACTATCCTTCTAAAACCCTGGTCTTAAGGTCCATTGTACTGCAAAAAATGTGTTCAAGGCCAGGCTGAAAGGGGCTTGAAGCAGCCAGGTCTAGTGGAAGGTGTTGCTGCCCATGATGGAGGATCAGAACTAGATAATCTTTAAGGTCTTTTCCAACCCAAACCATTCTGGGTTTTTATGAAAATAGCCTGAGCTCTGTAAACCATGCAGAAGTTTACTAATTCTTATCAGGTGTAGCTAACAAAACCACCTGGAAGTTATCCCCATCAAAATGAAATAGAGCCTGGCAAGGAGAGCAGGGCCCAAGAAAAAAAAATATATTAAAAAAAAAAAAAATCAAATATACTCACAGCCTTGAGCTGTGAAGCTGCCTAGTAAATGAACAGCTCATGCATTTTAACTCCCTTCTTCCTGTGCTGCAGTGCTCTTAATTTTGGGGTTCTTTGATCCACCTATTCATAGCCATGAAGCAACCAGAATTTAATCAGGCTCTGACGGAGGATGGTTCGTTTTAATACCAGCCTTCAAAAAAGAGCTGTCAATCAAGGATGGGCTATAATACCTTCAGCTTGGAGCTCCTTTACACTTCTGCTGCAGTTGAGTGGTGCTTGGTCAGCTGTGGAGGAACCAGGCACCTACAAAAGGCACTGCGGGCTCCCTGGGCACAGCCAAGAGGAGTCCCTGGGAGTTATTCCTTGCCCTCTCTAAAGGGGTGGTGTGATACTCAAATCAAGATGCCATTTCCAAGCCAAATGAGGAGAGATTTTGTCTTTGGATAAGGAGTAGCTTTCCTAAGTGTGTATCCCAAAAATCCTACTGAGCTTTTGTAGGCCAGCAGGCAAAGCAGGTTGGTAGCCGCTTGGATTAAACCTCTCCATATTGTAGCTGGAATGGGAACAGTGAGGACAAGGGTTACTTTCCCTACCTAATCTCAAGTTATTTTAGCGGAGGATGTTAGATAAAATAGTCAATGACTGGCAGGATGATAGAATATGGTTTAATTTCAGATTTACTATCTGCCAACACATGCCATTCAATCAGATAAACACAGGATTTCAGCTGTCATCACAATATCTTATGCATACTTAAAAATAGAGCATTTTTTCTCACACCAAGAAGAAATGGAACAGGTTTATATATAGGATATGTACAGTCAGGAGGCTCGAAATTTTGAAATAGTCTGCCGTTTCCAGAGAGATTCCCTATCTTTAAATTAAGGAATTATATTAGCAGGAGTAGAAATTCTCATTTGCAGAAGTTTTATCATTGTCAGCTGAACTGAATAAATAAAGGGAACACCTTGAGAAGTTGGACTATATAGAATGAGGCAAATGTCTATAGGATTTATAGCAGAGAATATGAGACTATATAGAGACTCAGAACTTCTCTGCGTGGGAATATCATTCCTCCTCTGCTTTATACATTTCCATCCTTGCTCTTTTGTCTGTTCTGGATCGTACATTGGGCCTATCACTTCTAGTGCTTGAATATCTGCTCTGCTCACAAGGCAGAGATAGAAGATGACAATCTAGCACCACCCCAGCACTATCTTAATCCAGTTTTCAGATTAAATGTAATTTAAGCACTCACTGACTATGGCCTCCCTCCTGAAAACACCCAACTTAGGTAGAAACATAGAATCATAGAATGGTTTGGGTTAGTAGGTACCTTAAAGATCATATAAACTCTCCTGTAGTTAAAATGTAGCACCTCTGGACAATGATAATTTACATTATGAATTCCTGAGTACAAAGATGAGTATGGCTTTTAGGCTTGAGCATATAACTAGTCAAGTTCTTTGTTATACCCTTTGTGAAGAGTAGCTGATGCCACAGTCCAGCATATTTTTAAGGTCTAGCCTGATTTGTTTACAAGGGATGCACAGAACAGCTTGGTTCTGTGAGAGTCATATGAGCAGACAGCAACAGGCAGTCTTCTTGCTGACAAATCTGCCAACACGCTTCCCTGCTCTGCCCTGCTGCTTTCTCTTCTGCTTACAAGCCTCTTTATTCCTTAACACTAACATAGCCTGTACCTTCAGTCTCATATAGTATCACGGGATCAGTAAGGTTGGAAAAGAGCTCCAAGATCATACTTTGAGAGAAAGTCCAACCTGTGAGTGAATACCACCGTGCCCACAAAAACCATATCACAAAATGCCACATCCACTCATTTTTTGATCATTTGCAGGTATGGTGACTCCATCACATCACTGAGGATGCTTAACCACTCTGAGTGAAGAAATTTTTCCTAATATCCAACCTGAACTTCCCCTGGTGCAAATTGTCCTATCACTAGGATACTGCTTTTGTGAAATTTCCTACCTAGTTTGATCATTCAGGTTTTGTAGTCACCTTTGATTCAGAGATGTCCTTGTTAGTAGCTACTGGCATTTTCCAGCTTAACTGGTGTTTGCCTGCTCTCATTCCCTTCTGTATTCTACTAGGATGCTCCAAAATGGGCTCTGAAATGACATCCAGAGCTGTTCAGCATAATGGTGTCTTTGAAGCCAAGGCTTGGACTTGGCTTCCAAGAGCAGGTCCAGCAAAAAAACAGCATTTTCTACTGAAGATAAGGGAAAGAAGGTATTTTTTGAGAGCGTTCCTCCCACTGTTTCCCTGCAGGGGGAAGGCTGATGCTTTTTCTAGCAAGTGCAAAGGCACTGTTGAGTAGTTTTGCTATGACAGATCATCTTATTACCCATGGAGACACCAGGACAAGATGCTGAATTTCCTGTTGCTTGGGCTTCATCCCTTTCTGGTTAAGCTCTTATGCATTTCAGAGAAAAAGATGATTACTGGATTGCAGGTCCCTCAGCTCAGCTGTGGGAGGGTCTTTTTACCTTCCTCAGACCCCCTCCAAGCTGAGTTTTGGCTGCAGTGACAGTTTGTGCTGGGCAGTGCAAACAGATAACACAAAGAAACTACAAGGCTGAAGTCCAGTGTGGGTGTTTTTTAGCCTAAAAGGCTTTAGAATTCTGTTGTTTTGTTTAGCTTTTTTTTTTTTTTTGGTGTCTTTTAGAAAAGCTTTTCACATACAGTGATCTCCCAAAGAATTTATTTGAACTTATTGGTGGGTGGTGCATACATTATGGGCTGTGGTTTCATTGATATGCTCAGCTGTGCTGAAGTAGATGGCATATTAAATGTTTTATTTACCCCATGTGCTACCTGTCATCTAATCAGCTTTTGTTTTTTGCTACATTCTGCTTGTATTATAGCGAGAGTAAGTGTTTTCATGTAAATTAAAACCACATGAAACCTTTTAGAGCCATTTTAAAATACTAAATGGGTTTGCAAATAGGTTTGTCGGACAAGGATTGGAAAAAGAGCTCTTTGCTTACCCATTTACTCTTTTGTATGCTTATTAGAAGCCCCCCATGTGACTCTTTCATCAAACATTGCATCCCAGCCCTTATCTGGAATGCCAGAAGTCATTTATACTGTGCTCAAGAGCAGTTTGCATAAACAGGAGGCAGTTTACAAAGAATACAGTTGTGAGCTGCAATTGCAAAGGTTATTTTATAAATTACAAAACAGATGCACAATAAAGTCAAAACATGCATCCCTCTGATGTTTTCTTATTCGCCTGGAGCATAAAAGTATATTGGCTTAAAAGTTTCTTTGCCTTTATTGGCTATTATTACCAATATGGATGATTGCAATTGTTTCACTGTGAATCATTTGGTTTCTTACAGGTGGATCGTATCATCTTCTGCGTCTTTTTGGAGATTGACTACAAAATTTTCAAGAAGAAAATGGGCGAGTTTTTCCCTCTAGGTAGGTATAGTAATCAAGTACCATCTGACTTCAAAAAAGGGTGCAGCAAAAAGACAACAGTTGGCATCTTGTCTTCTTTCCAAAGCCAAATATTATAATGAGAACTTTCTTTAAAGATCAGCTGCACATAGAGGCTCTGATCCTGGACAAATGCAGACATTTAAAATGTGTGAACCATCAGAACTACTTGTGATACTGCTTTTGTGTGCTCTGTACAGCTAGCTCCTTCATTCCCTGTTGTATCTGTATTTCTTCCCGAAACCTGGTGCTGGCTCTCTTGACTCTTGAGAACAAAATGATTTGCACTAATGTATGTAGCTCCTAGTGTATATTGCTTTTCCATACACTTAGTACACACTTTGCTCTTTCATTAACGATGCTGGTAGGGTTTCTCTGGGTCTGAAAAGATACCACAGTGGTTAGAGCCCAACTGTGTCTGAATGAGGACTTTAAACTTGAGCTGTCCCTGTGCAAGAATGAATGGGAGAAAGATGGCTCTCGCTGGAGCACTTCAGAAATGTTAGCCATTCATCTTAGATTTCACACAGGAGGTTGCTTTCTAGAATTTAAGGAAACCTCGTGGATAGTAAATTTGTTAGTCCATCCTCCCCCCCCATAAGCTCATGATTTATTTTTATCATACATCATTAGAAATCTGTGTTCCATAATTTTATCAACCCTAAACCTTCTCCCATTTTATTTTGCTTTGCGCTGACATCAGTCCAACTTTGTGTGACAAGATCCAGATTTTAGTATTTTGTTTTATCACCCACTTCAGAAGTGGCAGTTGTTGCTCATGCTATCTGTCTGTCTACTGGTAAGGGCCTTGGAGTAATAGGAAGCAGAGCTTTGCTGTATTCTGTCTCTATTAATTCTACAGGAATGTGTTGTTACAGTAGCCACAGTGGTTTTTTTCCTTTTGCTTTGGCTAGTAGCATGGAAATTGTGATATTTCTGTCTCATCTCACTAGAACAAAGCTTTTTGTAGATGACTTTGTAATCTCCAGTTTGCAATGATTGACAGCTGAAACTTAAAGACCTATTGAATTATTCAGGTAGCATCGAGTGGTGTCTAACTGCTTAATAATATTTTTGTCTGGAGCACACTGAACACGCATTTCAAAGGCTGCATTCAAGTCTAATCCATTCATTGTGTGATTTTATTTTTTTGGCAGTGTACCCCAGCTGTCATGGTTTGAGCAGGCCCAAAATCCAATTCTGATTCCTAGCCCCCCACCCACATCTCAACCCCATGTGAGATGGGTTTTCCAGACAAAAACACGAGACTCAATATGGGGGAAGGAATATATTACAAAGACTATACACATAAATAAATACTATAATACACTGCATACAATCTTAACTCTATATCTATCTCTACCATGACAATAATATTTACAATGGGCCCAATCTCTTCTCCCTCCAAATAAAAGTCCAGGAGAGAAGAAGAAGAAAAGACCCCTTCCAGTCTGTCAGCAGCAGGTCTCTCTCTAGGCAGCAGGTTCTCTTCTTCTCTTCCAGGCAGCAGTAGTAGTTGCTGGCTCTCTGCCAGCACACACAAGGGGGTCTCCAAACCCCTCGGCCCTCCGTCCTCAAACGGGGGTCTTTCCGTGGACTACGTAACCCCAGACAAGGTCGCATCACCACGGTCATATCACGAAGCACGGGGGTCTTCGTGACAGTCTGGTATCCTCAGGGGAAATCAAGCCCCTGTGCAGAGCTCCCATGCTCTGACTCAAAGATGGCTGCCAGCTTCTCTGAAGCTGCAGCAAGGAGGGGGGGGGAAGCCCAAGGTCACCCCCTCCACACACATTCCTTTGGCCGTCCTGGCTTTAGCTCTCAGGACAGTCTGAGCTTCTTGCTCCTCTCTGTAGTCCATACTGCACTCCAAGACTCTTCCAAGTGAGTCCAATCATCCTCCTCTCTCTCACAGGAATCTCCAGTGAGTTTGGGGGTTTGGGTTATCCAATTCTTACCCCGAAACTCTGTTCCTGCTGCTGGCTCAGTCCTCTTTCAGGTGCTGCCTTTCTGCTTTCCTTTCTCCTCAGACATCTCTGTGTCTTCCATGCAGCATACCGGCTTCTGCTGCTCCTTTTGGTCCTTATCAGTTGGCTCTTTGCCACTGCTCTTCGGACGCTGCTGTCTCCGCTGCTGCTCCCAGCGTCTCCCACTGTTCTTACTGGGGAGAAACTCCCCCAGCTTCTCAGCCACAGACACTCAGCTCAGCTCTGAGTCCCTGCAGCCCCCCAACTGGGGGCTGGGGGGGGGGCAGAGGCCCCCAAGGGGCCGGAGCCCCTTCTCCTCGTGGTCTCTACAACATGGCCACCTCTTCTTCTTCTAACAAGTACTACTGCTTCTTTTCCGGTCTCCAGAGATATGTTTATATTTTGCAGGAGCACTGATTGGGTCAAGCCCCAAGGGTCACCACCCCCTCGGGGGTTACCATTTTTCCTAGTTTCAGGGGGAAAACCTGGCTCAAACCACTACACCCAACCCATAGGATAAAGTGGCAGTACCCTACCTACTGTTGCTGGCTCTGTCCCTGCTGTCAAATTAAGCCAGAGTAGAATACAACATCAGTTTGTCAACAAATCAAGAGTCCTAATGCTCACCTGCATCAAGGCCTTTGAAATCATGCTTTAAAGCCTTGTATTATTGTTATAAATGTAAAACCCACTTGGACTTGAAAGTTTTAGAGGCAAGAAGATTCTTCAGAGCTGAAGCATGACAAGCCCAAAGGCAAAAAGAGAGGATGGTGGAACATTTATTTCTTTTTTAGGTTTTTTAAACCTGACATTGTTGAACTCCTGCCTACAGAGAACCTGTGTGATTGGGTCTCATGTTATAGAAAACCATAATTGCATTCCACCACATTATGTAGATGATCAGCTGTACCATAATTTTAAAAGTATATTCATTCTCGTGCATGGGAAGGTTTTACAATTTTTTTGCTTGAACCAAAAGTGGGATTTTTATGTGTGACTACAGGGAAGTGGTTGTGATGGAGACCATCTAAATCCAGTGTTTTGCAGGCATGTGACTATGCAAAAGGTTGATCCAAAGATTACAGCTGTCCAGAGAAAGATGATTTACTTCTCAGCATCCATAATTTGGTATAGAATGTTAAAAGACCTTAGGACCCATTTTCATAGACTCTTCATTGCAATTTTCTCATCACTAATGGTTCTGATTTTGGTATGCCTTAATGTTGCTGGTTTCCAGAAGGACCTGAGCACCTACTGTCTGATGAGCCATAGCCTTAAAAGGAACCAGTTTAGCATCTAAAACTTTATTACTGACTCAATGAAGGCTTTGCTGTGGGGAGATCAGTAGTCAGGGATTTGTGAGGTCTTATTTTAGTGTCTTGTATCACCAAGATACAAGTTTGGTAAGGTCTTATAGGAGTCACTTACGTCTTCAACTTGTGAGGATACAGGGAGAGGCAGGACAGATACATGCTTCCCAAATGACTCTCCTGAAGTGCCCTTGGAGAAATAATCAGTATCCTGGAGGAGTGCCCTAACAATTAATATACAATCTCAGACTTTCTTTGCTGTCTTCAACTGATACTTTTCCACAGGGTACCACCACTTCCACAGATGTCAGCTGAAGTTAGCCCCATCCTAAATGCCATGTGGTGAGAACATCAGCTGAAGGTCTGGGTGAAGATCACCAGATGACCATCGTATCTGCTGTTTGCTCCCTTTTCTTGGGTCTCTTGTGAATTGCCATCTGCATTTAACAAAGCAGATTTGGACAAGATATCAGCAGACTCTCCCACTGTAGGGCTATCCCATCTCTTTGCAGGACTGGTTTCTTAGTCAAGGAGTTAGCAACTGCCTCTACCTTTGCTAATAAGTTCCTGATATTTACACTGTGGAAGAAATTGATGGAACTGGTGGTTTTGTTTTGTTTTTAAGTGAAACTATTAATGTAGTGAAATGAAAGTCTTTAAGGATAGACTTGCCCTAAATTTAAATTGATAGGACACTATCTGAACACTCCCAGGAGAGAATAACACTGAGGTATTGCTTTAAGCTTAGAGAAAAAACATCAAGGCATTTTAAAAGTGCGTCTCACATTCAGAAACATAATGAAATATATCTGCTTTAATAGATGTGGACAAAAATGCTTAGAAAGAAGAATATATTCGTGGAGTTATATACATAAATAGTTATGACTTTAAACCCAGTGCATTAATAAATCCAAAAAGACATGCAAGTGCTTGAGCTAGTCAAGTGATAATGAGATGAAGCTGGAGTTACACCTCAGTGCATTAGAGTAAGTGGAACATAGATATAGGGAAATTGTTCCATTAGTTGAACATATCATTAAGCCTATTTTGCAAGTGGAATGCCAAAGAAATTAGTCAAGTAATAATATTGATATTAAGACAACTGCCAAGAGCCTTGCCATTTGCAAACTTTAAATATATAGAGGGAAGAGACAGACTTCAAAGTAATGTCGTGTCTTGGGAATGTAGCAAAACTGTGCGGTAACAGAGCAACTGTCACTGTCTCAGCATTTCTGATCTCAATAATCAGTAGCCTGTACAGAACCCAAGCCAGAGCCAGGATGCTCCAAGGGGAAGCAGAGCACCACTTTAACTCAGACAGAGGATCTCATTGCAGTGGTTGTCCAGAAAAGTCCTGGTTTGGCAAGTAAAGGGTTCTGGTCCAGGCAGAATTTTTGTTGAACGTCTGGGGTTTTGCTGAGAAGTTTTTGTGTGTTCTGGTAGGAAAAGAGCAAGGCTGAAAGACTGTTGCAGTAGAAAACCCAATCTTCTTTCCTTAAGATGGATCACTGTTTTAACATATTAGATGCAACAAACAGTTTTGGGGTTTTTTTCTTCTTCCAAACTTGAGTCCTATCTCCTTGTGAAATGAGATAGCCCAGCCATTCTCCCTTCAGCTGTGTTGGAACATCCTCTCTGCTTAATCTGAGAGAATGTCTTGCTACATATCTTTCAGGCAAATAAAATATCCATGCCTGCAGTTCTG